TCATTTAACCCCGGATTGCTGTCCACCGTGGCCATTCTAGCGTTGCTTGCCCTTGCCTCCTCGCTCCTCAGTCCTCACGGCACGCGTGCCGTGTCACGTGGAGCTCTCGCCGTTAACGGCGCGCACCGATTGGCCGCGACCGCCGGAACCATCGGTCCACGCCAATCAAACGCAGGCGATGCAGGAGCACGAGCGTAAACGTGATCAAACGGATCAGTGACAACAACGCGACATAACCTGCAAAAAGGACCGGAGTCATCGATTGATGGGCGGTTTACGGTGCTTTCGACGGTTCCGGTAAAACTTGGCAACATTCAGTCACCCCCGGGAAACACGACGAGCCAGAGCGCGATGAAGGAACCCGAGGCAGACCCGAAAAACATCATAAAGAGCAGAGAGCTTCTCTACAGATTGATGATCAGGTTGTTGATAATCGTTTCTTTCGCACGCGATCCCTTGAATTTCGTACCTTCGCCGTTAGTATTCTCGTACGAAGCGCGATTTCTGCGTAAGCGCTCGATCGTAGATGTAATCTACAATTGTAGCTTCGTCAGCGGATAAGAAAAATGGGATGTGCGCGATGGATTGTCAAGTCAGTTCGTGTTGAATATTTCAGTCAGCTGTTCTACGATGGTCACCAAACGCTAGCCGTGCAGCTATCCAACATGATACAGGCGGAACCGCCGTGCCCACCCTCGGATCGACTGCTCCATTTGATGTTGATCGGCGCTGCCCACGAGCCGGATCGTTGCAAGAAGGAAAATAGCACCAACGTGTCCACGTTTGCGTCGAGCTTCGACAACACTTTAGGTCCCGGACTGGATCTGGAATTCGAAACGGAAACTCTGACTCAAGCTCCAGAGCCAGCGCAATACGAAACGGCATATGTCACGTCCCACAAAGGAAACTGCAGAGCTGGAGCTTTCTCGTCGGACGGTCAATTGATCGCCACTGGCTCCGTAGATGCCTCGATCAAGATCTTAGATGTGGACCGAATGCTGGCCAAATCTGCGCCGGAAGAAATCACACCTGGAGATCAAACTGGTGGCCATCCGGTTATAAGAACTTTATACGATCACTTGGAGGAAGTGACGTGTTTGGAGTTTCATCCCAGGGAACCTATACTTGTGTCCGGCAGTCGCGACTTCTCTGTAAAATTGTTTGATTTTAGTAAAGCTAGCGTCAAGAAGGCATTCAGAACCATCACGGACGCGGATCAAATTCGATGCCTGTCTTTCCATCCAACCGGAGATTTTCTCATAGTCGGGACTAATCATCCGGTAGTCAGATTGTACGACGTAAACACCGCACAGTGCTTCGTGTGCAGTATCCCGAGTCATCAGCATACGGCCGGGATAACGAGCATCAAGTATTCGCCGGACGCGAAGACTTACGCATCGGCGGGAAAGGATGGTAGCATCAAACTCTGGGACGGCGTGTCGAGTCGGTGTGTCAACACATTCGCAAAGGCGCACGACGGTTATGAAGTATGCTCGGTGATCTTCACGAGGAATGGCAAGGTAGTAATTCTGACGGTAACGTTGCGCAAGATTTATGTTAAAGAACACGTTATAAGTTATCGTGGAAAATTATTGACTTACATCTAATTGTAAGTCGTATTGAGTAATCGTATAATTTTGGATTCCAGTATTTACTGTCCTCAGGGAAAGATTCCTTGATAAAGTTATGGGAATTATCTACTAGCAGATGTCTAATAGCGTATACAGGTGCCGGAACTACAGGTAAAAGACTACAAATGCGTTTAGACATACTTGGAATAAGCTTGGTGCGGTATGCCTAATTAATTTTACGATAATATAATCGCGAATATACGATTAACGAGTGTCGTTTTCCACAGGTAAACAGGAGCACAAGGCACAGGCTATCTTTAATCACACCGAGGATTACGTAATGTTTCCCGACGAAGCCACCACCTCGTTGTGCGCATGGAATTCTCGTAATGCATCGCGAAAACAGTTGCTGTCGTTGGGTCACAACGGTCCTGTGAGGATGATCGTGCATTCACCAACCGCTCCTGCATTTTTGACATGCAGCGACGATTTCAGGGCACGATTCTGGTTCCGAAGAATGCCAACGCATTAAAACGACTCGCGACAGTTAAAAGGACACCGAGACCGCGAAACGGTCTTTCTGATAATATCCATTTTACAGAATGCGGAGTACGCGTAGATTAAAAGACATTTAAGATCGGATACATTGGTATAATTACGAGAGGAAGAAAACGAAAAAAATAGGTATTACGTATTTATACAAAGTTTCTATTTTAATTAGATTCTAAGTGGCGAACTTTGCATATTTTATTTTATTTGTGTTAGACCACAAATATGTATAATATATGTATGATTTTTAGAGTAATTTCAACCTTTTCATGTTTTCACAATGAGTGAACAAGCGCAAAAAAGCTCTTCATCTTTATTTCAAAGCACAGTGTACATAATTAAAAAATCCTGAAACGACTATCTTATAATTCTATAAATTGGCTGATTGAACGACACGAATATGCCACATAGTTTTTTGACCAAGGTAGGTAGGTAAAATAAGTACGCGATAAATTACAATTCAATTTAATGCGCGCTTGTAAAAATATTTTCGAAATTGCTCTGACGAGAGGCCTTCGACGAAACGAGAAATTCTGCGGCGATATTCTATACTGCATCTTTT